TTCATTTAACCTCCATAAAAAGAAGCGGCAGGCTTATATAAACACAAGAACACTGGATTCGTGACAGATAATCAGGGAAACATAGTACTGGAAATAGAGCATAAAAGGGATATTTGGATTAAATACGTGGAAAAAACTTTTGAAGATGTACGAAGTAACAACGGTATCACAACAAACTGCGAAAACCCATTGATCTGGCTGTTCCTTGTAGAATCTTGATAAAAGATAAAACTTTAAGCAATATTTACTGTAGGTAATCAAATTGTCAATGGACAGTTTGCCCCTTTTATGGATGTGAATCATGCCACTTGTATGGCATAATAAAACCAAATAATGAACTAGTATGCCCTAAATGAGATTTTTTACTATAAATCCTGATTTTAATTTCAAACTTTCTCATAATTACCAGTGATATCAATTTTCGTTACTTTTGAATATTTGTAACGATATTCCTTATTTTAAATATCAATACCAAGTATTTTATACTCGTTACTTTCGGTACTTTTAGTCTCAGATAAAGAACAATATTTGTGACTTTAGTGATTAGTATTTAAAGTATAATGGCAATAGTCTTCGGTACTTATAATATATAAATATAGTCGAAACTTGGTTAACGAAAATTTTATTAAACATAATAAATTTTTTTTATAGTGGGTTTTTTTTTAAATAAAAGTTGTTATGATTCATTGTATACAACCATTTACAATTTTTGTTACCTATAATAAACACTACTTTATTTTCAAAAAAGGAACGAAAAATACAAAATCAAATATACTCGAAAAATCAAAAAAATAAAAATTGTTTATTTTTATAAATCGTTATCACAATGCAAAAATTTTCCATTTTTTATTTTAACCGATGTCTGCGTTCAGTTACTATTTAAATAAGCTTAGAAAATATGCGTTCGCATGGAACAAAAGAGGCACATACGCAAAAATACTTTTTGGATAATTTAGATAACCATGGAATACACCCTTTGAATCTCCCACCACGAAAGTAGAATATCTTTTTTTCTTTCAAGGTTTGACTTGTCAGAAAACATTCTGATTTCGGCAGTGGCAACTTCTGTTCGAGTTGTCACATGCAAAGAGTTTTTTATATATGTATCAAAATCCTGCCAAATAATAATTTTCCCCATTTGTCCGATACGTCCTTCTTGATATTTTCATTTGTTTCATTAACGGTTTCATTTTCAGCAGATTGATATTCTATAAGACGAACTAATTCATCCTGAATTTGATTTTGAACTTTTTTTAAATTAAGAAAAATGAAAAGACTAATAACTTTTTGTACACACTTGTCTTGTGACAAATCAAAAGATGGAAAAGGGAAGTATTTTTGAAGTGTGTAAAAGATTTTAATTCCTAGCTGAGCGCATTCGGCTTACAAAGCCATCTTGGGAGCTATGGTCAAATATTAAATATCCTACTAGAGAGATCACATAGTAAGAAAATTGCAAAAAAATGCTGGTTCTATTTTATTTTTCTACCTTGTCAATGAAAAACACAAAAAAGACTGTACACTGTACTCCACAAATAAAAACATTAAAACATTTGGTTATCGCATGGGTTTCAGAACCCGACCATTTATTGTAGTTGAAGCAGCAGATCTGCTAATTTTCATTGTCAAAGTAGAAAAAGTAAAATAGAACTAGCATTTTTCTGTAATTTTCTAACCATATGATTTTCCCTAGTAGGATACTTTAATATTTGACCATAGCTCTGAAGATGGCTTTGTAAGACGAAACTGCTCAGCTAGGAATTAAAATGTTTTACACACTTCCTTCCCTTTTTAATTTTTTATTTCTTTCTAAAGGTTTTTGTTGCTGAATGCCTTTGTTTTAAATCTCGGATCCTAGAAAGAAGCTTGACGCAGTATAATATCGTTTTCACGATTTCCAAAACTGAAGAGGGTTACTTGCTTTTCTGCACTTATTTTAAAAGTAACTGCTTCAAAAGGCTTTAAAATATAGGTTTTTTAATATCGTCAATTTTTCTTCAGTTAGAAGATTAATAGGACTGAAAAAAGACCATCAGTTGCAGCCAAAGGTTCTGAAAATGTAACTAGTCTCTCAAACATATAGTATGTCGAGTTCCATCATCATTAATTAACTTCAAAGAGTTCCGTCAGGTTTCATTTCATATTGAGTAGCTATTATTTTAAAAAATAAATCTAAAACGAAGTCTCTCAGTTCTAGTTCCAACTCCCATCCACTCAAAGCAAACAAATATTTAAAACTAATAAAGTCAAATATTAGATTCTTTTTCTGGTCCGTCGTTCTGCCTATTTCTTTTTATTTATATTACAAGACAGTAAGTCAAGGTTTCTTTTTATTACAGTTGCAATAATGTAAATATCAAAGAAACCGGCAACCATTTCGGCAGGCGTCTTTAGTCTTTACTAACGATGTAATATACTCTGTCGTTGGTTTTTGAAAATCGAAGAATTGGTTTTGTTGCTGACATTCGGATATTTCGCATAGTTTACTACAGCTTATTTCAAATTGAGTGGCGAGCCCTTCCACGAAATAGTTAATCCCGCAGACAATAGAATATCTATAATCAGACTAATGCAGTGGCGTTGCAATATTAAACCAATTAAATTATTTGAAATCACACTAATTACAAAATTATTACTCACTTAAATAATAAATGGAGTTTGATTGTACACAGATTGTTTTATATATACCAAACTTTTTGTTTGTTATAATACCATCTTTAATAATTGATACTCTATAAAGTTTGGTAAAAGTTCATTTCTAATTTAGTATCAGTTACCTTAAAACCGTACTTATAAAGTCAGTATTAATGGCTCCTTACGGACATACAAAGAACTAATAAGAATTATTTCCGAGAATTTCTAGTCACTGGATTTCAAACGAGTTCGTAATTTAGTCTCATTATGTTGTCGAGTCTCAACAAGAAAGGTGCTACCACGCGTATTAGAATTATTTTGTAGAATGTAGATGGTTAAGTTTAGTACGAGTAAACAGATCAGATTGATAATAGAATCCAAAGGAATAGTTTACAATGTATTTAAATATGTATATGTAAATACTATTTCCTAGTATGTTCGAGATAATTGAACCAGTATTAAACAACGTGTGAGTGAAGCTACTAGAGTATCTTTACGTACAGTACAAAGGATCATTCAACAAGCGAGGATTTTAACAAACGCAGAGTCAAATAATACACTAAAATTTTCAGCTACAACACTTGCTAAAAGGAAAGCAAACGTAACAGACTTGAGGGAGTATGACAAACGGTTCTTTAGAAATACCATTCATCGTGTTCATGAGATTGAACGTTGTGTATCATTGAAGCTTTTGCAGAAAAGGCTTCAAGAGGTGTACGAGTGGACTGGAAGTGTAAGTTCTCTACAGAATTGTGAAAGAAATGAAAGAAAACGAGAGATAATCGACGTTTATTAATTGGACGGAATGATATTCGTGCTCTACACATTAAACATTTGGACAAAATTAAATATTACAGAAGCGAAGGTAAGTCAATTGTATATGTTGATGAAACCTATGTACATGCAGAACACACTACGCCAAATAGCTGGACAAATGACAGTTTTAAAGGATTGTTCAAAAATATTTCAAAAGAAAGTAGGTTGGTTATCGTACATGGTGGTGGGGAGATGGGTTTCATACCGAACAGTGGCACACCCAGGGGGGAGTTTGGGGGTTAAAATCCCTCCCAGGGCACTATTCCGACACTATTACCCACAACTTTTTAAGGCCTCAAAATGGAGGTATTCGGTGCCCAACCAAAACCTCCCCGCAGGAAAATTCTAGGTGCGCCACTGATACAGAATGTCATTTTGATTTTTAAGTCTGGAACTAAGACAGGAGATTATTATGATGATATGAATTCAGAAAATTATTAAAAATGGATGAAAGAACAGCTAATCCCCAACTTGACTGTTGGATTGATAATGTGTCATATCATATGGTACAAATTAATAAAAAAAGGAATATCTTGGTTTTGACAGAAACCAAGAAAATTTACCATTTGTAACGTCAAGGTTAAAACCCCAATTGTATGAAATCATCAAAGGACACAAACAAGATCATTTTAAATATAAACATGTTTCTTTAAACTAACCGCCATATCATCCAGACTTGAAACCCATAGAAATGGTTTGGGCGCAAATAAAAAATTAAGTTCCAAAACAAAACGTTTATTTTAAGTTAGAAGACGTAAATGTGTTGGTGGAACATGAATTTGCTAGAGTAACTGTAGATAACTGGAAGACAGAGTGTGAACATGTTGTCAAGGTTGAAGATAAGTATTTGGAAAGTGAACGCCGCATAGATGTAATTACTAAAGAATTAAGGATTGATTTAAATGATTCTAGTGACGGCGACAGTGCATCTGTTTATGAACGTGAATAATATAATTTAACATTACGATGTACCTGTGTGAATATTAAGTTTTCCAAACTGTCCTGTATAAATGTATTATTTTTTTACTTGATTACAATCATTTCGTATATTCTTCTATTTAACTTTGTGACGTTTAAGTGAGTAATAATATAAATATAATAAAATAAAGGTTTTACAGTTAAAACAATATTGTAATTAATATTTATTAATACTGTAATCTGTAAAACTAAATACGTTTGGTTTATAGTGTATGGTTTCACATAAAGACAATATATGTAATATATTATAATATTATGTATTAAAATGAAGTACAATTATGAAAAAAATATAATCTAATACCATTGTTTAATAAATTGTGAGTACCTATCTTTAAAAATTTGATTTAAATCACAAGTATTTTTTGGAACGCCACTGCTTTGTTTGGTGAGGCTTTACTATTCCTAGAAATTTCCACCACTACAGTTGAAACATACTCTAGCTTGGTTATCTGTACCAAAAGTAACGAGTATTTCTAACAATGAGGAATCGGTACTTTGGGTATTGGTCAAATACCCGTTAGTTTGTAACGGTTAGGTACTTTTTTTACATGACTAATAATTACACTACTTACTTTCCATTGCTCCATATTTATCTGTGTAATAATTTGTGCATTTACACCACCTTCTTCCCTAAATCCCTTTAATACATTCTTTTTCACAGGTTTAATGATTGGGTCACCTTTACGATCTAAAATATATAAAAGGAAAGTACAGAAAGTGTATTTTTAAATCCTTATATTATAAAGCAAGCAACAGATAATAAACTATTCCTGCAGAGTGGGATTCTATAGTCTCGGTGGAATATACTCATAAACTATAAAAACTTGATGTGAAATGTTAGGTATTATTTTGGGAAACAACTAGTTTAAACCAAAGCTGAAATAATTCAACATAAAACCTATGTATCATTAAATATAAATGTGCCTAGTGAAGTAACACTTATTTACCTTAGGCTTTACAGAAAAGTGACTGAAACCAAGAAGTGAAACCTACTATAATCGACTACAAAATAATATAAGAGAATATGGTTTCTGCAAGTTCTAATGAAGGCTGTAAAATCAAACCATTGGATAATACTTCTAAACAGTTTAATGCCCATAGTGATATCTCGTCAAGAACATTCCAAGAATTCCTTCAGATACACTTTAAAAACAATTTGTCAAGATAAAAAACTAAGATAAATATAAGATAGAACATAGTCAATAACTTACTTAGATCTATACTGGCTTTACCATCTCTTACTAAAAATGAGAAATAAAAGATGTTTTCTACAGTATTTGCAAAATCGTCAGTATCTATAATATAATCGTAGTAAGGAATAGGCTCCTCATTATTTTCGACATATTTAATATTTAACACTTGAAAAAATACTTTCACAATATCCTCAATCGCTTCTTCTTCTTTGTTAAGATTGGTAACTCTTTCTGGTTCTTTCTTTTGAACTTGCTCCTTTACAACTTTTGCTCGTTCTTTTCTAGGTTTTGGTTGAGGTTGCGTATCTAAATCATATGCTCCATAGGTATATGAGTATTCAGGTACTTGTGGAATGATGTGTCTAGCATCTTCAAGCAGTTTTAATAAATCTGATGATACCATTTCTTCATTTTCTTCTTTGATATTATTAATCTGAAAATAGTTTTAAAATAATTCCAACTCTACAATTGTTTAATTTTGTAGCATAAAACATAGAGATCAGAAAAGAATATTCTCAATAAATAAAAATGTCGAGAAGGGTACAAAAAATATATGTTTTTGTTTATTAAAATGTCTTATCACTATTTCCAGATATAAACTATAATGTACTGTAATTTTTTTATTATATTTATTTGATATTGTCTAATAGGTTAAGGTTTAATTGGCTTAAGTTGCTGATATCAGTTCTCTTATTTAATGAATTAGGTTGTTTCAAAATATGACACATCTCCATAAACGGTCTCTTATTAAGGTTATGTTCTCTACAGAGAATTCTAACATCATCAAAATTCACAGTATGTTTGGTGTTGATTGCATGTTGTGCAAGGCGACAGGTATGTTTAAAAAGTTTAATGTCACTACCATGTGAAATAAGGCGTCCTTTAAGGGAACGGCCCGTCTGACCACTTTAACATGCATCACATTCAGAACAGGGTATGTGATAGACTACATTCACTTGTTCCAAAAAAGAAAGAGGTGTTTTAGTTTTAGAAAACAAGTTCCTGTCAGTCTTAGCATTATTGACGGCAATCTTAACTGGGATATTGTTCTGTTTGTACAATTTAATAAGCTTTTCAGTAACATATGGGAAATAGGGTAGTGAAGAGTAATGGGTGGTGGAAGTTGCAATGTTAGAATAAAGTAGAGTACTGTTGTTCATAATATTATTAGAAATCATCCTTAGTTGATTACCATCAGGTAAATCATCAATAGAAGACCCAAAACTTGTTGAAAAACGGTATTTATTGATGAGAGAAGTAGGGTACGAATTGTCAGATTTGTGTGAAATCAAATGTTTGCTGCCTTTTTTCATTTTAATCGGATTTACTCTGTGTGAGTACTAGAAGCACAATTCGCTAAGGATTTCTGCTTAGTTGTAAAAGACATGTCGTGGAATGCAAATTTTAGATTCCCCATGTCCCTGTTAACATCTTTTATCAACGTCTGTTTGCCTTGCAATTTTTAGAAGGCTCAGATTACAAGCAGAAATCTGAATTGTGTTTCGAAACTATTTTACGAATTTTGAAATCAAAATTTGTCTTTTAGTTAAATTATTTTTATGCACAGTGCCCTACGACATCTCGTATGGAACTATAAGTTCATTAATAATGAAGACACTTCGTAGTGTCCCTTTGGTAGTCGCTTTGTTTGTTTTTTCTATCTTAATATATTCGTGATATCCTTCCCTTTTATTTAATGTATCACACGCTTCAATCGGACCAAACACAAAGGAGATATGATGTAATATCCTCTTAGCAATTCCGCAATGTGTGTTTTTTCTGTCAACAGGATCACCCCCGCCTCTTCATTCCATTAATGTATCATACGTCACGATTCGACGTACTATTTTACTTCCACCGCAAAACGCTTACAAAAATTTGCAAACATTTACAAAGTCAAAAGTTTGTTAAAATATTAATAAATACATACTTACTATGTTATTGGAATATTCTCTAGAATCATATGTAGAGGTAAATATATCAACAGCCGTTACACATCTTTTTAAAACAGAACTTGCAGAGGATAATACTAAACAATCTAAAAATGTTTCATCGGCATTTCCCACTCTCTGCGTAATATCACATTCTGTATCCAATGAGTTAGCTTCTCTTAACACTGATCCTATTTCATTTACTGTGTTTAAACTGACATCTTCTGTTTCTTCTAAAAGTCAAAAACATATATAGGGTTATTGATGGTATAAGAAAAATATTTTTAGAAAAGCCTGTTTCAAGTAATACGGTATCATTAGACGGTATGCGAAAAAACAATGCCATGTGACGGAATGCAGTGATCGGTCAAATTGATTGCGCAGCGGTCTGAAAAATAAAAACAAAAGAACCGCGATGAAACGCAAATCGTGCGACCACACGTTGTGAAGTAGTAAACGCAGTCCCATGCCTATTTCTTCTAAAATAAAATAAAATACAATAAAGTAAAATAAAATAAACTAATCGAATTGAATTAAATTGAATTCAATTAAAAATCATCGCTTCGTGCGTAGACGATAAGAAAGCTATGCTTCCCTCTTCGGTCATTCCCGGAGTACCACATTTTTAATTCTAAATGTCTAATAATTTATTAATCATACCACAAAATTATACTCATTTTGTAATAAATTAGACAAATCTGTCTATTTTTTTCTTGTTTGATTACTATTACATAATATATACAGTGTGCGTCTAAAATCCACCCCAACCACTGACCCGTTCTATAATAGTTATGACCAACTAACTTAAATTTAGAATTTTTGGATTACCGAACTATGACACATGTACATTATTTTTATATTTTAGTGATAGTAATAATTCAAAATGGCGGACGAGTACCATTTTGCACAATTATGTTAAATGAGATCGTATGTCATATGCCAAGTAATACATCATTTGAAGGTTTTTTTTATCTTACAGTATATACCTGGATTTTTGTCTGATTTGGTAGCACCGTCTAAAATAACTATTCAATGTTTAATGGTAAAAATGATTAAAATACTGACTACCCCTAGTAAGTTTCAATACATACCTCATTACTACATTATAAAACGTTTGAAGTAGATTTATGTTTACTTCATAAGATTATGAATGGATATGTTTAACCCTCTAATGCATACAACCGTCTTGAGGCGGACTTTGATCAGTCATATTAATATGAACAGGCGGAATTCTGGTTGCATACCTACTTAAAACTGTTTCGTGGAAGGCTTGTTTTATATGATAGCGATGTCCGTAGATTCATATCTGTCACAAAGCAGCCGAGGCGGTTAGTTATATGCATCGAGCAAAAAGACAGAAGAGGGAATGTAAATGTAGTGGGGGCAAAAATAATGTTAGACGGGAAGTGCTATTTGAGAGGCCACATTAAACAAGGAAAGAGAGTCACTTTCCTTGTTTAAGATATCAAATTTAGTTGGGTTATGTGATTGTTTGTCCCAACTGTCACATGAAAGCTTATTTATATTGAAGTTTTTTAACAATTGTGTCACATTTTAGACTATTATCGTTATTATTTAATTAAAACTTTCTCGTCTGACTCATTCTGAAAAATATTTTATAGCTACTTTAAATTTGGCGCCTTTGCATTCCCGGATATGTCCTCCATATTAAGAGGCCACTTTTATGAATTTTCGTCTCCTTTTCATAAATATTAGATTCCCTCTTTTGTCTTTTTGCTCGATGGTTATGTGGGAATAATTAGTACTATTGGATGAAAAAATTATTTGGCGAGAATACACATTTTTAGTCAAATAAGTACTTGTTTGTGGAACGCTAAGTGAAGCAGAAAAACTTATAGGTGAGTAGCTAAATACCTCTATTACACATTTTTTATCTGTTTTAAGTTGAATCAATTTCGATATTTTTGTTATTCCCCATTTTCCACACTCCACCTGTAGGCGGAGTTGTGCCTTCTGGCGTAGTAAAAGTTTATTTGATGGCTTATTACTAAAGCGGTGTGAGATGCTGCTGACGGTGAAGCAACAGATGTTGAGAGTGACTATAATTCTGATGGAATCGAATACTGCAGCTTCAACAGTTGTACAATACAGATCAACTAGGGGTATCAGAGGTGTCACAAGCACCAAGTGTATCTGAGTAAATTCCAGTGCAAGGAGCCTCACAACCTTTTAGGCGACAGAAACGTCCTCGACCGCCAGAATTAACGGAAGAAGAAGGTGATCCAGTAGTAGCAGTTCGTGGTGTAACAGGTAATGTTGTTGCCATGAAAAATGATTCTAGTGAATTTAAATCTATTGTTTGGAAAAGAGTATAAACACCTTCAAATTCATGTAAATGAGGTGGTATTTCAAGGCCAAAAGCAGTTTCCAGAAAAAATTAAGAAATTAGCCACTCCATACGAATGTTTTCTTTATTTTCTTGACGACACCATGGTTGATCATATAGTGGAGCAAACAAACTTGTACGCTCGGCAAAATGATATATGTACAAACAAAATTCAGCATTTAGTCCGACAATATTCGAAAATTAGTTGGCATTCTTCTGATTATGTCTGTTTATTGCTATCCGAATGTCCGATCCTATTGGGGAACACACTCTTTTGAGCCAGTTCGTCAGACTATGCCTTTGCTTCGGTTTGAATCCATTCGCCGGATTACGTTGGAATCCATCCACTATAACGACAACTCAGTAGCTGTGGAAAGGGGTAACCCTGGATACGATCCTCTGCATAAAGTTAGTCCGCTAGTGAAACATTTCAATGACAGGTTTCTATCAGTCCCTATGCCTTTTAGGTTGTGCGTAGATGAACAAATGTGCGTTACAAAGATCACTGGAAGTGACCTCCGACAATATATGCCCAACAAACCACATAAGTGGGGCTTCAAATTTTTTTGCCTTTGTGACACTTCTGGATTTTTGTATTCATATGAAATTTACACTGGTGCAGGAGACAACATAATCTTGGACGACACTCCAGATCTTGGGGCTGCCTCAAATGTTGTGGTTCGCTTATCAAAGCACATTTGAAATTTCGTATATCACATTTTATACTTTGACAATTTCTGTACGTCTTTGGGCGTGCTTACCTATCTCCGAAGTAGAGGAATATATAGCTTGGGAACAGTGAGAAGAAACAGAGTACTCAATTTCAAATTATCGACTGACGCAGATTTGCAACAGAAGAACGTTGACCGTGGCTATTCAGAATTTGTTGGTAACGAATATGGTATAGATATTACCTCTGTATTGTGGAACGATACAAAATATGTGCGACTTTTGTCGACTTATGTTGGCGTGAAACCATTTCAGTTTAAAAGTTCAAAATTCCAAGTAGAAATTTGTACATTTAAAGAAAAAGATTAAACGTTCCTGAATAAAAACTAATTGTTGTGAATATATTGTTTCTCATAAAATGACCCCAAAAAGATTCTTTAAAGTTCAAATTCAAAATTATTCTTAATTTCTTCTGCAATAAAAATAACTTTTCGATACAATTATTGCTCCCATCAAAAATAATTCTCTCATAAATATCTGTTTTTTGCTAAATAAAAGTATCATATTAAAGTTGTTTTTTGAACACATGTTTTTAACACAACTTTGCTACAGCTGGACCTGGGGTCACCTCTAGGCGAGCCACATGAACTAATGAATAATGCAATTGAAAGCAAAAGAATCTTTGACTTAATCATTGGTTTTGTGACAGAAACCATAAAACACAAGGAAGAGAAAGGGAGCAAACTGCAATAAAGGTGAACTGTTTATTTTAATGTGTCATATCTGTTGGTGTAAGTGGGGCGAGCCACTATTCAGTTCCACTACTGACACTGAAATCTTAAAGAACTTGACTTATTACAGAAATCAATTTACATATGTGCTGTTTTGTTTTGTGTCTACTTGTATCTAGTGTATGGTGTGTGTCTCCTTTTGGAGCAGTCTATTTATTACTAAGTCATGGGCTGGTATAGATTGAGAAATAAATGGACCACCTCACGGGGGTGGAATATGAATGTCTGGAGTGCCTTGTACCTGTTGTCTGATCTTTCTCGTTTGCAGTTCAAGATGGTTAAAATAACGGCGCTGCCACTCCTTCCTGCCTATCGCTCTGCACAAGGATGGTTACCTTACAAACCTAGTCTGGTGCAGACATGGGTGAGGTGGAGCGACTGGGATTCTATGGCAATCATGGAGCGCAGACGGATAGTGGCAGATGGGAGTTATAAGTAAAGCTGACGGGTCAGATGGTAATGCTTGTTAAGAGCTGTTCCAGGCCTGGGGTTTGGAGAAAGAGGTGGTGAGAGGGTGGTTGGAGAAAGAAGAGGTAAGAGGGGTAGTCAACTATGGTGAGGCATAGTCATCCGAATCCAACACACCTGGGACACCTTCCCAGAGGTCTTTTGAAGATTCTCACCTCCCAAAAAAAAATATTTTCTTCTGAAATAAAAATAACTTTTCCATACAATTATTGCCCTTATAAAAAATAATTCTTTCATAAATATCTGTTTTTGCTAAATAAAAGTATCAACATCTTTGTAGTACCATTATATCGACATCTTCATTAACGACATCACTTCCCGTTTCCTAAATAGCAAATGTCTAATGTTGGCAGATGACTTGAAATTTTGGAAAGTTATAGATAGCTTAAAAGATCAAGCCTTGCTGCAACACGACTTAGACCAACTACAAAATTGGTGCAATCAGAACAAACTCAACTTACATGTAAAAAAATGTTGTTTTATAAGTTTTCTTGTAAAGTTAGTAGAACTGGAACAAGCTATACTATTAATAATCAACCACTTAGTTATGTTTCTTCTATTCAGGATTTGGGTATTATTTTTAATGAGAAGCTTACTTTCTGTGAGCACATAAACTCTATTTCAATAAAGGCATCTAAACTTCTTGATTTCGTTACTAGTAATTGCAAGTATTTCTCCATTGATTCACAACATAATTAGTATATTGTTGCTTAGTTACAGAAAACTATTTTGGAATACTGTAGAGTTATTTGGTCACCCTATTTCAGAACAATATTGATATACCATAAAAGAGTTACAGAATAAAATTATTGAATATTGTACTTACCATGTCCCCTCACTACTATTGAAAATCTATGATTAAGTCCCATATTGAACAACCATTATTTTTACCCTCACTTAAGAACTGTTATTGTTTTGAATGCTAAATTTACTATATTTGTATTTTGGCGAGAACAATTTCCGAAGTGGAAAATGAAGACAACAATAAACGATACTTTAAACCGTTAATTGTGACTTATCTCCCATTTAAATATAATTAATTTCAAGAACTGTTGTGAATATATTAGGGAGCTATATTTATTAATAAGATCATACATGGATTTATTGATTGTCCAAACCTGTTAAGAAGGCCAGATTAACTTTAATCTTCCCCACTCAATCTCTATGATACCACACACAGTGTATTCGCTAATTCCATTCCACAGAACAACCTACGGTATTCAAAACCCATTGGGGGTTATCATTTCATAACGATGGCATATTAAAAGCTCCTGATTTTTGATATATACAGTAAAACTTTAAACTCAAGTTTTGAAAGAGCTCTTGCCTTAGTGATAAGTAATATTGGGATTGTATGAAGTTTTGTGTTCTTGTATATAATCTGTTTGTTTGCTGTAGTATTTAAGATTTTTAGTCTCATTTTTAAAACTTTTAATATCAAATTTAAATATTATACGAAATTTCAAGTTTTGAAAACCAAACTGTGATATTGTATATGTAATTTAAACTGTTAATGGATTTATCCCATGTATTAAATAAATAAATAAATTATTAAAGTTGTTTTTTTAACACCTGTTTCCCACATTTAAAATCTTTTTGCAGTTGCCTGGTTTTGAGTACTTTACTTAAAATCAACATAAAAGTGGTGTTGGATGGTTTTGCCAGTAAGACGATGATGTATTTTAGTTTAAATGTGCAAAATTTCTAGTAGTGTATACATTTTGAAGTTGAAACGCAGAGAAGAAGAAATTTGTATATTTAAATTAAAGGATTAAAAATTCCAGAATAAAATCTAACAGCTGTGAGTATTTTGTTTCTCCTAAAATGACCAAGATTCTTTAAACTTCAAATTCAAAATTCTTAATACTTTCTTTTAAGTAATAAGGAATTATTGTAATAAAAAATCTAATAAACATTTGTTGAAATAAAAAATAATTTCCTAAAAAAAATTATAATACAAATAAATTATAATTATCCTTGGATTAGAATCAGATTTTGTTAATAAATTATGTACCGTTCCCGTCATAAAAAACTGGTACAACTCTTATAACCGAAAATTGTGTTTTTCAAGTTGTGTAAGTTGAGCTTGTCACATGTGTCATTCTAATTTCGAAGGCACAAAGCAGGGCTGTGTGACAGGTCGCAAGTTTTTAGTATACTAAAAACTAAAACAATATCGAGCATTCTCGATCAGTCAGTCACATTTATATTTATACATTTATTTAAACATACATCTTAAAAAATTCTATTAATTTTGAAATTTTCCATTATCTCAGTATTCATACATTGATTGGTGTTTTATTATAATTTATAAAAATATTTCAATTAAAAAATAATGATAGATAATCAATCTAGACATGACTTTAAATTTATGTTTAATTTCTCGTTAGTTTCTCGTAAAGTGTAACACAAAACTGTATTGAGTTGTGGAATACTACAGTAAATAAAACCCACTGGAAAAAATTAAAATTTAATTTGAAATTAATAAAAAATGAATAATTTTTACAGTGAACAAGTCTGGGATTTAAATATATGTATTAAAATTCAAAAAGTTAATATTTTGCCATAGCTCCATTATTATTAATCACTTCTTGTAATTTTCTGGGAACTGAGTTAATTAAATTTAGTTATAAATTTTCATCTTCGGCCAAGCTAAATGATCTCTGTTTTGGGGAGCCACATTTAATTTTTGTATTTTGTTGATCATAAGGCCCCAAACAATCTCTATTGGATTAACATCTGGACTTTTAGAGGGCCGTGGAAGAGCTTCAATGCTATTTTCCATAAAGTAATCCCTTACACAGTTGGCTGTGTGGATTGAACAGTTATCATGCTGGAAAATAAAATTATTGTTGGGGAAAATTTCCCTAACTGATGGCAACATCACATTATCTAATATATGTAAATAGGTTTTAATATTAAATTGTCCTTCAATTCTTCAACACATTCCTAAACCTTCTCTATACATCCAAGCCCAAAAATTTATAGAGAACCGTCCGGATTTATCACTTGATGAAATATCGTTTTTGTTAAACCTATTTCAAGGCGGTCTATAAACCCTAATATGACCATCATAATGAGACTTGAATACTTTTTCGTCAGTAAAAATTACATGGTCAAGCAAATAGGAGTCTACTTTGTTTATGTTCCCCACTAAATTTGTATTTTCGGGCGGCTGCACAATTTTTAAAATCTGTTCTTCTAATTCTCCTTAATGCTGTAGTTATAAAAGGATTAAAGTTTGTATTAACTTTTGCTTGCCTAGCCGTATGGAAGGGATATGCTCTTAAATAATTAGTTAATGTTTCATATTGTTGGGCTGTAGTAATAACTGGTCTCCCACTCCCTCTTCTTCTATCCAAAGTCTGCTCGTTTTCCCATCATGTTGTGGATTGTGGTTTTGCTTCTATTTAACTCTTGAGCCAGTTGTCAAATAAACTAACCATCTCCTATTTTTGAAATTATTCTCGTTTTATCAAACTCACCCACTGACGTGGCATCTTTAAAAATTCACTTTGACAAACTTGTCAAAGCTGACTGATGGCAAGCAATATTTTTTATGATTAATTGTTTGGATATGTTCGAGAAGTTTTCATGCACTGATAACATCTGTAGATACTAAACCAACATTTTTCAGTTATAAGAGGATTTTTTACAGTTATAAGAGGATAGTGTAATACTGTCACGTTTTGAAAAGCATTTTTCGCCCCGGATATTTTATAGTTTATAATCTACGTAGGATAAAGTATAATGTTAGTTTTTCACATTTATCGTTCATGTAATAAATAATAAATTAATTTAGGTAGTTTGCCTGTGACTAAACTTATTGACATAACATACAGTTAACAGTTTGTGTTCTGTAAGTAATTGAAGTATAAAATTACAGTAGATGCATTCCAATGTTCCCTGTGCCAATACCCTAAGTTTAAATACCATTCACTTTTTGTAACATTTTGGACATTAACTCAATCCTCTTGCTGGTTATTAGATTTATTAGATACGGTTTTTTGTTCATTATGATCTAAAAACTTTATAAATTTTTGAACATTATTTTTTACGTTTTACATTTTATTTAAATTTACTGAAATTCTGTTATCTGTGATGGCAACAACGAATTGATTCATGAACCAGACTTGTGTCCAGTCTGACACAGGTTTACATTGGAAAAAAATGTGTACCAATTTTATATGACGGGAAGTGTACATATTAAGAAGCTAAAAGATGCCATGCTACAAAAGTACTTTTGTTATGAATTTACCACAAAGTTTAGTTGCAAAGACAAATGGGATTTCTACCATTTGAGAGCATTTTTAAATAAAAAAAGAAGGCTATAGAAGTGATGGCTCTGAAACAGCACAAGGGCATACAGTAATATATGAGGAATAATCAAGTATATGATATATCTACTATACAACATAAAGAGATAAAATATGAAGATCAATCAAACTTCCTGGGATAAATATGACTACCTGAGTTCCTCTACTCACTGAAGAACTACATTGAAAGGTAAGAAATGGTGCAACAGATCGTATTAGTGGTAGTGACTTCTGTCCTAAAAGTAATAGCAGTAATAATATTAAGAATAAAAATTGGAAATCAACCATAAACAAATTATTAACAATTTTATATCAAGTTACATTGGAAAAGGTAAAATAAATGTTTGCAAATAACATGCCAATGAGAATATTAAATATGTAGTAACTAAACTTACCTATTCCTTCTATTTTATTTAAAAGTTCTCTGTAAATGATTTTCCTCTCTCGTGAATTCCTTCTCATTGTGCAACGATTCTCTTGATTTTCGCTAGAAAATTGTTCCATTTCAGATAAGATAAATGAAGGTTATCTAATTTCCCGGAACTAATGACTAGTTCAATAATAGCACAGTTCTTTTTTATACTATGATAATAGTGTCAGTGTCAGTAGAATAGGAATAGATATAATCACGTAATTTTTACAAAACAAAATTGTCAAAACAAACTTTATGTTATTGCGCTATTGCCGCTATTTTAGAAGTCATTTCTTCTCATCTTCTCTTCTTTCAACCCACATAGTTGTAAGGTATCAGGCACTAGCGTCTAGAGCCTGACCTACTCTTATATGCAGACTTGCGGCCATCGAGCAAAAAGATAAAAGAGGGAATCTAATCGTTATGAAAAGGAGACCAAAAAAGTGGCCTCTGATGGCGGACATATCCGGAAAGGCGCTAAATTTAAATTTTCCAACACTTATTAACAATAGCTATAAAATATTTTTCAGACGAGAAAGTTTTAATTAAATATTAACTATAATAGTCTAAAAAGTGACATAATTGGTAAAAGATTTCAATATAAATAAAATTTCATGTGACAGTTGGAACAAACAATAACATAACCTAACTAAATTTGACTTCTTAAACAAGGAAAGAGACTGTCTATCCTTGTCTAAAGTGGCCTCTCAAGATGGCACTTCCTGTCTATCAATATGTTTACCCCCACTACCTTTACATTCCCTCTTTTGTCTTATTGCTCGATGCTTGCGGCACAGAATAATAAACAAACAGAATGCCCACTCTCTACGGAAAATTAAGTACGCGCATCTCCTTCGCGTAGACGTTCCGCCATGTTTTACGAGGATTTTAAAGGGAACCAGTGTTGTTTATGTGGTGTGCATGAAAAAAAAACCAGGTTTATTTGACTTACGGCAATCATAGACATACTATACAATTATATTAACAGTTTTAAATATATAATTTAGTAATAATATATTTAAGTCCTGAGGGTGGAGTGAATTTAATACAAACAAAAGGAAACTTTTTATTTCACCAACACTTTGAAATTTAATTGTGTGAACTTGTATTACTCAAATGCTGTGGTCTTTTCTTTCATATACCTCAGTCACCTAAGCTAGTGGCCTGTGTAAGAGAGGAGAGTCAATGTTTTTGACCAATACTAAATTGACCTTAATATTAGGAGATAAATGAATCCATTTTTAGTGGTTTTGAAGCTGATTTAGGTAGTCTGAGGTCCAAAGCTTCCAAAAGAGTTGCTGAACTTGAGTGCACTACTGCCACTGTTTCAGTACATTATCCAGAGTGCATGAAATATCTACCTCTGGATAAGATAACAGGAGCACCTATTAAGAAATGTCTCCTGAAGTAAGAGACTATAGGTCCAATGGAAGAGTAGACAAAAGTAGCTTCTAATTGTTGTTTCCTACAATCCACCCCAGTATGCTGATCTGGGAAGAATAAATGTTCAAATGATCTCTTCTGAGGTCAGACACTGCTTCTAAATGGACTGCTTTGGTAGCTAAGCATACAAACAATGCTATGTAACTTTTTGTGTAGGAGCTCTTCTCAAGGAAGAAGACTTGCAAAAGGGACCTGCAAAATCTATTCCAGTCTTTTCAAAAAGTCTTTTTGGTGGGATTTGTTCACGAGGGAGATCTGCCATAATTTTGTTTGAGGTGATGGCATTAAACCTAAAGCAAGCGCTCGATCAGTGTATTATAAGTTTTATACATCTAAGTCCGTCAAGGGATCCAATATCGTAAGCAGACATTGTTCAAGGTGGTTTGAGATCCTGCATGTCCCAGATGCTGAAGCAGACCCTTGACTAGTCATTGACAGCTCTAAGGGGTACTTTTAAATCAGCAGTCAAGCTAACAGGTTGTGTGTGTGAGATAGGCGGTTGCCATTTTGTTTTAAGAATTTAATATAATAATATAATATAATAGAATATAATAATAAAGTAAAACTCACTAAGTGCAAGTTTGAAAGAACAGAGATATTCAAGTTTTAAAGCATATTTTATTGTAAAAAATCCATTTTTGAGCCAATTTTATAACAGAAGGTAAAAACAGAAGGTATTTTTTGTTACAATCTGTTATAAAATTGGCTCAAAAATGGATTTTTTACAATAAAATATGCTTTAAAACTTGAATATCTCTGTTCTTTCAAAATTGCACTTGGTGAGTTTTACTTGTCAGCCGACAATATAATTTTGTATGTAAATTATATATTCTTAAATCATAACCCCCCTTTTAATCTCTTACCTGTCAGGTAACTGTGTACACAATTAAGCGTAGAGAGAACTATATTGTTTTTTGTTTTAAACAATTACTACACTCAGAATTTACTCCAGCAGGGTAAATTTCCATTTAACTTGATGCAAAAGTTACAGAAATTTTCTTTTTAATAGGTCAGTAGACTATATATTATGTTCATTGATAGTGTTTTCACTCTTCATTCTTATAATCATTACAATTTAAAGTTAGGGTATTCGTTATTGGGGGAAGTTTAGTGTTATATATACATAAATTCAGGGATTTCATTATTATTATTAAGCTAGTTTAACTGTACATATAGGTGAAAGGTAACATCGACTAATTTTACTTTGTTACTGTAAGCATCATTAAAATTAGGTAGAGATTAAATTGGGTTGTACATACTATCTGTTAGTGCCTATTTTTTCTTGCTTGCCGAAATTGAACAATCCTTACAGCAATATAATATGCTTTGGGAAGTATCAGTTGATACTTTCCTGGCACCCATACATTCATTAGAACAACTTCCTGACTACATTATTCATATTCTCATCAATTTATACATTTTTATCTATTTTACACATTTATTCTCATTTAACTGTCTCAGAAGGGCATGCAAATTGGCTGAATCCTTCCTTGAGTGTCAAGTAGTCCTCCAACATAGTGAGCTAGCCAACCTTTAATCTTGATACATTTCTATATTCCTATTTTGTTATATTTACACCTTTTTATTACTATGCTCCATTCCATTACCTTCATAGTTTGCACTTTTTGTTACATTACACCCATTTTGCTACACTACACCCATATTTTGTTAAAGTTGATCGCCTATTCTAAGTAATTTGCTCCTGTGAATGAAGGGATTCAGTGAAGCAATTTGCTTGTTAAGTAACAATCAACCTTGTGTCAGAGATAATATTTTGGATTTAAAGAAAATGGCTTGAACTTGACCTATTAGGGATAGTCTGGAATCTTGCAATACTTAGGAAATAGATGACCAGATAAGTGGTCTTTATGTAATAACAATTTTTCTGAGTTTTGGTACATACATCGACCATTTTCCTTTCTCCATGGAGATTGACAATAGGCTCAAATGAGTTAGGTTTAGACCAATTGCATAGATCGATCTAGTAGAAATGACGGTCCAGATGCTAGGAAGGATCTGGCATGATCTGAAAGTTTTCCCCTGAGATAAGAGGTCTGCAGGTTTGAGTTCACACTTTATGTGCTTCCACTTCACACATAAGGGCTAGCATTTTGGACTATTTTCACCCTGTTTGTCACAAATATGGACCATTTTTTGAAAGATTAGTGGGCCCAAGAGAGACCTACCATAAAATCTGACCACAACATACTATCAGAAACAGTAAGAAAACAATATATTAGCGTTTAGAGCCTTGTGTAGAGACTGGTTTAAGAGAACCAGTGCACACAACCCTAGTTACGGTATAGCAAGATTTTTTCATTGGAGCTACACGCCATTTGACAGCAATAAGTGTAGATGACACAGATGAATCAGAGTATTCTGCCCTTAAATGTATGCAACATCCGTATGCCTGATCACAAAACCCACGTAATTCTACTTTAACTACATCTTTGTCATCAACTATGCACCGAGGAACTGAAAAGGAGGACATGTTGGTTAAATTTGACAAGAACTTAAACCAATTGTGGTAGAAGCTCGGGATCGGGAAGGTAGAAGATCGATAGTGTGGTCCCAAGAGAGATTTTTATCCCATATTTGTTGCATCAGAGTTTTTCCGTGAATAATTACAGGATTAACAAATCCCAGAGGGTTGCAGGCCCTTGCCTGCATGGCTCTTCTTCGGGAAGAATGTCCTTTGATGCGCTGCTAAACTCTGCAGAGGACGCAGGAGATGAATTGGATCTGATCTTGAATATGCAGGAGCAAATGGAAGAAAAAGTAGAGTTTAACGAACAATGCAGTGAAATGATTTCTTCTTCAGTACTATAGCCTGATAAGATGTCGTCCACGCAAGTCTGATACAATAGGGTATTTTGCACTAGCTTTGAACAAGAGAGATTTTGAGCAATGTTTAAGAACTCGACAGGCTAGATATGGAGCACTATTTTGACCAAATGAAAAGTATAGTTAAGTAGTTAGTTCAATGCAAGAGAATTGGTCTTGGAGAGTTTGTCTCCACAAAGTGTTCTGGAAAAAGTTAAAGGAAGAGTTCAGTTTCACCTGCCGATACATTATCATTATGTCAGCAGTAAATGCAAATGTATAAGTTTGGACTCTGGTAACAATTTAGAACAGTTCAGGCTGAACCTTGGGACTGAACAACTCTCATTTTCATAGTAGAGCTTTGGTCTCTTACAACTCATAAATGTGATACAAATTATTTATTTTCAAATTTGGAGTTACAAACGGCCAGAGGGACTTCTCTTCCGCCTCCTAGCTCAATATAATCCATCAGAATCTGTCTATACTCTTCCTTTCTGGAAGGATGCTCGACAATTTTCTCACCAGGGGAAAGGAATCTGTTTTTAGCACACATAAATTAATCACCCAATTTTTTGTGAGCTAATGGGTGAATGAGAGAGAGGTCGACCTGGTAGCGGACGTCTTCCAGAATTGTAGTTTGTGAAACAAAGATTCGTTTGGCAAGCGCGTCCTGTTCATAACTTTTGGAAACATTAAGATCTTGTTTCTGTTGGAAAAAGCGATTTAGTGTTTCATTAAGTGATTCCTTAGTCTCCTGAAAATCAAAGGTTGATTGAAATGTGTACAATTTTGGATGAGGTCGATAGTGGGGTTTAAGACGGCTGAGTGGTAAGGAGCCAGACTATCTATCTATACAGCCCCTGCTGTCCAATTTTGGGCATATGACTCCTCTTCCTTCTTCCATGTCTCTCTATTGTAGGCAGTTTGTATCCACTTCGGGCC